CCTTAGACAATGCAGTGGAAGTGGCCTTTGGCTATTAAGACAGGGCTCAGATGCTGGATTCCACATCTAGTGGGATGCTCATCCCAGTAGGGATGTGATTAGTTCACCCTTCAATCCTTATTATCAAACGTTCCTGGGTGTAGAAAGGAGAAATCCCTGCACCTGTTTCTCTGTGGGGTGTGGAGGACTGGCTTGAGAGAGTGCTATCCAGCTCTCCCCACTCCCACCTCTCCTCTTAGCACTTTGGGGAATATTCCCCTAAAACATAGGAATATATCCACACAGTGCTTTTTCCCAGTGTTTCTGAACACACCTTTCAGGTCTACCTGTTTGGGAATATCCTGAGACATGAGCTTTTGTGAACAGCTCTGCCATTCTTTTGGATGCTTGTAGATGCATAAAAAGCAATGCTAGGGAAGAAAGGAAGAGATGACCATTTGTTTATTGACTGCCTACGGAGTGCCAGGAACATTAAACATTTTGTCTCAGTGACTTCTCACAAAACAATTTTAAAAATATATCTTCACTACCTACTACATAGGCAAGATAGTATAGTGTCATATCCAACAGAAAAACCTCCTCTGGGATCTAGGCTTTGCCGCTTAGTAGCTGTGTGATCCTGGGCAAGTTACACCTCTATGCCTCAGTTTCCCCACAGCAAAGTGAGAATAAGAGCATCTACCTAATGGCATTTTAATGAGGATTAACAGAGGTAAAATGCTTGAAACAAAGCCTGGCTCCATGCATGTGCTCTTATCACAGTGTGCAGTGAATCTACCGTATGGGCAGTGTATCGTGTCCACTTTACAAAATTCAAGGACAGGGAGACTTAGTGGACTTATGTAACTTGCTAGGGGACACACAGCTTCTGCAGGGCAGAGGGAGGTTTGGAAGAGAGGTGCATGCAGCTCCCAAGAGCTTCCCATCACCCACCAAAGCCAAAACATATTTTTACTCCTGGGTTTCTGTCCCTCAAAGAGATTGCAAGCAGACACACAGGAAGGGCTGAATAGGTGTTTCATCAAAAATATTATTGAAATTATTTGTCCTTCCAATTAAAACCATGTGAAAAGCAGGATGGTTTAGAAAGGTGGCTGGAGTGACAGGGATGTGTGGGTCATCTTTGGGCTTGAACAGGGACCTGAAAGTAAGGAGAACAAAGGATTAGTCACAGGCACTGGTGATGAAGGAGGGTGGAATGCCAAAAAGGGAATGTGGGTGGAAGCTAGGAGGTGGTTACCCAGGACTAAGACCAGAAGAGAAATGACAAGGCCTGGGATTGGGATTTCTGGGTGGTGGAGTCTGGATGAGAGAGCAGGTGGGAGGAACGGGTCCAGAACTGCAAGGGTAGGCGAGAGTTAGACTAGAGGTGGGACAAGCACAGAGCCTTAGGAGTCTCTACTTCCTTTCACACTTTCCTTTCAGCTGCAAAGCAAACTGAGAGCCATAGGAGAACTAAGCAAAAAGAAGACAAAAGGGTTGCTGGGCTAAGGGCCCCACTTCTGGGAAGCAGCACTAAGAGTGGACCAAGTGTACAGCGCAGCGCTGAGACGGACAAGGGAGCCGCCCCTGCTCTGCTCTGCCCTGCCCTGCGCTACTCTGCTCGTTTGCTGGAGAAAGCCAGAGAGACAGAGAACAAGTCAAGTGTCCACCTAAATGAGTTTTTAGTCTGCGTTTATGCACACGATTCGGTAGGGGAAGGGCAGAATTTTCTGGAAAATAATTTCCACTTTCCACTCATTTTTGCTGGATTGTTTTTCCCTACTAGTCGATGGAGAGCCTTTAATTCAAAGTCTGAGGTCCTTTTTCCTAAATGAGAGAGATTTTCCTTGGTGCTTCTCAGACCTGGGTACCAGGCTCTGAGGAAATCCCAGGGTGGTAGGAAGGAAGGACGGCTCACCCTGCGCAATAAAACCGGCCTGCGTAAGTGCTCGCTGAAGGAAGGGCCAGTGTGCCAAAATTCAAAGTAAAGGGTCGCGGTATTCGCACTCCATACATCATAGCGTTCGCTTCAGCGTTTCAGCTCAAGACGTAATTTAATTTGTATTTTTAAGAGTAAGTTAGTTATAAAAACAAATGTGCTCTAATAAATTAAATTCCTTAAAAACATATCATTTGAGTTTGATGTGGTTCATCTATTTTTTTTTTTCCTTTACGCTGCTACACAATGGCTTAAACATTCTTACTACCAAGCCCAATTCAGCCCTTGGAACGCTTGTGAAAAAGCAAGAACAAAGTGACCGGTGCTGTCCAGGACACAGACTGCATCCCGGGAAGGGAAGAAGGGAGAGAGGGGGCAGATGAGGACCCGCAGTATCAGCGAGGGCTATCAGGACGTCCTGCTAATAAACGACTTTTTCACTGTCCACACTATAATTGGTTTACAGCCTTTCTTGTTTATTTATCCATAAGAGCTGCTGTTAAATGGCTCGGGAAGGCGCTCGCCTAATGGCTCAGTAACGCTCTGGGCCTGTGGGAGGCGAAAGGGGCGCGGGCGTCAGCGGGGATGCGAAGCGGAAACGCATTTCGCCTGTAATGGACTCGGCGGTTTTATGATACCGGGAGCTACATCCACAGAAGAAATACAACACACGAGTTTTCTCAGCGGAGGGTTCTACCGGGTGGGGTCATATATATTATATATTATGTATCATATATTACACATTACATTATTTTATATCATATGTCATATGTCATATATCATTCGCCAATCCGAAAACCTTGTTAGCTTTATCCCACTAAATAATTCTAAATTGCTGTTTGACCTTAGTTTCCTGGATCACGTCTTTAGGTAGTGAGCAGCGGCTAATGCTACTTGTGAAAGTGAGAGCGTGCACCTTCAGCACCCTGTCCCCTCCCCCACGTGCTTCTGCAACCTGGCTTCCCGGTGGTGTGTGTGTGTTTTTTTTTTTGTTGGTTTTTTTTTTTTTGCCCTCGAGCGTGGTGAGCGGGTTTGCTTTCTGCTGAGCGTCTGTTTTCTTTCTGCAGGGCCGAGCAAAAATATTAAATGGGAGCAAATGAAGCATCGAAATGGAGACCAATTTACAGAAATGTGCAATTAGCGAGAAGTGCAAAGTAAACACTCTAGGTCGAGGATGGCAGGCGAGGCCAACAGAGGGGGCGGGGGGTGGGCTGGGGCCAGGCTGCCCACCAAATCTAGAGGAGGGTGTTGGCGCGGGGAGGAGGTGGGAGGAGGAGGAGAAGGAAGAAGAGGAACGGAAAGGTGGCCGATCTTTGTCCCAAGCAGAATTCGCCACAGGCTCATTACCCCGTCGCCTAGTCAACCCGCCGAGACTTGGCAGATTATCTCCGAGGGTCAACACGCCGCGGCCAGGCAACCCCTACAGTCCTGCGCTCCTGATCGATGTGGTCACTCGCGGCCTGGGTGATAGCGCCGGGTTCCCCGCGACCGCCGCGAACAATAGACTCATTGACTCGGGAGTGCAGAGATTAGGTGCGCGGGTCCCACGGCCTTTCAACCCCTGGCCGCCCCCCACCGCAGGACCGCAGGTGGCCCTTTTCCCTGAAGAAACCGCTGAAACCTTCACCCGCCGGGCTTCCTGGTAGCTGCGCGCGTCCCCAGACTCGCGCGGACCTGTCCGTGCCCAGCGCACCCCTGCTCGCCCATTCTGAGACGGCACAAGCGTCTAACAGAATTCTGCGGAGAAGTCAAATCCCACCGAGGCTTTTTGCTTAGTGCACTCAATCTGTACGCATGGAAACGCAAATATTTCCACTAGGAGGAAAAATATTAAAATCTACCTGTGAAAGGACTGGATCCCACCTCCTCTCACCTTTCCTAGGAGGAAAGGCTTGTACTTTAGGAAAGTCAAATTGTGCTGATTTTTCTCTTGTTGCTTCCTTGGGCTTCCTGCTCCCTCTTGTTTAGGCTTCTCGGCAAAAGTATCTAGCTTTTCTAAAGTCCCACCTTGCGGTTTAGGGAATATGTTCATTTCGACAGGAGCCGGTCCAAGGCCGCTCAGGACGCCCAGGGCAGAATGGTCGGCAGCGTTGGTCCAGCCCAGGCCGAGGGCGGTAGCCACTGCCACCCGGAGATAGCCTGTCCGCACCGTGGAGTCGGAAAAAGTAGCTCTATTTAGGTCAGGACCCCAGAGTGCCAGGACGTTACCCAACCGGTGGAAGCCAAAGGCTGACGTTGTCATAAGAACGCAGTACTTTTATTTCTTTTGTAAACACTGCCTACCTCTCCCCGTCCTGCGTCCTGCCTTCTTTCAATCGAACGAGGGGGTAGCATCCAGCTGGCGGACCCCACCGGGGGCGGATCAGCAGACAGCCAACTTCTTTCCCCCCTTGCCACCCGAGGAGAACATTCGAGTCCCAATTTATCAAAATCAAAATTAGTAATGCCTAATAATTTTGTCAAAATAAAAAGACACTGAATGCTTCAGAAGTTACAGGTTACTCTCCAGAAGTTCCACAGCACAGCCACAGGTAAAAACATTCAGCAAAAGCTGGATCTTTGTGTGTGAGCTCATCGGTGTCCTTGGTGCCAGTGTACAAACCGCACACATGAAACAGAACCAACTGTTTGCGACTTGTAGAGCTAGGTCTGCAAGATTTTTTGAACCGTATTCCCTGACAGTTAAAAAAAGTTGAAATATACAACCTCAATATGTATATGTATAAATTACTTATCAAACATACAATAGATCGTTTAAAATCTAATGAAACTGTTTCCATAAATGAATAGAAGTTCTAAGATTTTCATGCGCGCCCAGCTTTGGAGAGCCCTGCCAACGGCGAATACATGTTTGTGCAGTGAGCTCAGCTGAGAGAGAAAATCGAAACGAATGCGGGCGCTCGCGGGCTCCCGGGCCTGGCTTCTTAAGGCAGTCAGTCCGACCAATAAGGGCCCGGGGCTGAGTCACGTGGGTCACAGCCGAGCCTATGGCCGGGCGGCCGGACCGCGAGGCCCCGCCAGCCGCGGGCTCCCTCCGCGAGCAGAGCGAGCTGTCAAAGCGAACCGGCGTGGCGCCGGCAGTGGGAGAGCAGCACGGCCTCGAGTCACCTGGCTCTCAGCTCCGGGTCCCCGAGCCCCGGCGGCAGCATGAACGGCGAGGAGCAGTACTACGCGGCCACGCAGCTTTACAAGAACCCGTGCGCGTTCCAGCGGGGCCCCGCGCCGGAGTTCAGCGCCAGCCCCCCTGCTTGCCTGTACATGGGCCGCCAGCCCCCGCTGCCGCCGCCTCCATTCCCCAGCACCCTGGGCGCGCTGGAGCAAGGCAGCCCGCCGGACATCTCCCCGTACGAGGTGCCCCCGCTTGCCGAGGACCCCACCGTGGCACACCTCCACCACCACCTACCTGCTCAACTCGCGCTACCCCACCCGCCCGCTGGGCCTTTCCCGGATGGAGCCGACCCAGGAGCCCTGGAGGAGCCCAGCCGCGTCCAGCTGCCTTTCCCGTGGATGAAGTCTACCAAGGCTCACGCGTGGAAAGGCCAGTGGGCAGGTAAGCCTGGATCCCCGCCCCTCTCTCCTTACCCTCTCGCAGCTGGCTGCCCCTACCTCGGATCACTCCTAAGGACCTCTCCCAGTTCGCGTCCCTGGACCCTACGGATAACCCGGGGTCGAACTAACGTACACGGGGATCCAACGAGGCCATCCCACACTGACGCATTTGGAGCGCCTTTGCCTCTCAGCTCTCCTCCTGGGCGCTTAAACCCCTATCTCCCCTGTATGCTGAACTCCGGGGGCCGCTCGCTCCCAGCGCCCCTCCCAGAGGACTAAGGTCTGGCCGAGCTCAAGGCTTCGGAGCCTCAGATCCTCCTCCAGCTGGGGATCCTCCTGCCCCGGAGTCCCGGGAGTTCCGGTGGAAGAGATGGAGCAGGGTTCGGGGTACCTGTGAGCTGCAGGAGCCCGCCTTCGGAACCCGGGTCACGCGGCGCCCTGTGTCCGGCGGCTTCGCTGCAGCACGGTGGCAGTCGTGGGCACCCAGCACGTGCCGGAAAGCAGGGGTGTCCGGCGGCCAGGGGGCACCAGACAGGCGCTGAGGCAAGGCGGTGGGGGGCTCACCGCAAAGCCGGGGGCGGCCGCTCATCTAAACGCCTGGCAGCTGGGCCAGGCGTCTGCGACGCTAACTTGACTTTAGACCAAACAGAAGTGTGTGAAGGGGTCTCCCCGCGCTGCTTGAGGAAGGAGATGATGCTTTCTGCGCAGCAGCCGGCCCAGGGAAGCGGGAGCCTTGGGTCTGTTTGGCCTCGGGCGGAGACGGGTAACAGAAGGTCTCCCCGGAGCTGGAGGCGGAGAGCAGAGACCCCGCTCTCGCCCTCCTGCCGCCCTTTCCCCGCCCTGAGCTGGCTGCGATTTCCCACGCGGCCTATGACGCCCCCGCCACACAGTGTTATCGCTTCCGTGCCGAAGCCACTTCTGGTCACACCTGCACTGCAAATAGTTGACTTTTCTTTCCTTCCAACTCACAATCGGGAGTGCGGGGACAGGCTGGAGCTGGCGCCCCTGGCGCTCCTCGCGGTCTGGCCCGCCCTGCCTGGCCCTGACCCGGACACAGCCCAGCAGGGCTCTGGGGGGTCCCCGCTCGCGCAGAGTCCCAGGGCTCGCCTTTCCTAGTTCACTTCCTGCTGAAACTGAGTGTGAGGACCCAGCCGGTCCTGAGGCAGGACGGGGCAGCAACAAACTCAGCCACAGTCTTCCTTCCCCACATCCGGCGAAACCCCGGCCCCAGGCGGTTCCAGATGCTCGGGCTGCTTCTGCGTACTTACCAGCCTGCCTGGCCCGGGCCTAAGAACCCGGAGTCTCGCAGGAGGCAGGAGGACAGCGTCCTTCAGTCGGGGTGCAGGACCTCCAGCCCGTAGTTTCCCGCCGGGAGCTGCGGCCTCTCTCTAGGACTCCCTTCTGCAGAGCGCTGGGGACACGCGTTTCCGGCCTCCCGGGCCCTGCTGGCGAATTCTTCAGGAAAAGGGCTGGGAGGCCCTGAGGTGGCCTAAATTTCCTACCCTTCTCTCAAGTGTGTTATGCCAGCTCTGGTGGAGCTTGGGCTCCATCGGATCCAAAAAGCCAGAAAGTAAAACCCGAAGGAAAATTGGCAACCTTGCCAGGGGCATGGAGGGACCCTGGAAGGGTGATATCCCCAGTCTGGAGCATCGGGGCTGGAGGGGCCTCTGCCAGCACCCTCTGGCTCATTGCAGGCTCAGCCAGCCAGTAAGGTGCCCAAACCCTCTTTCCTGAAGCTGCTTGGGGTGGGGAGGGTCCTCCCCTGGAAAACATTCCAAGGAGCAGAACTTCAAGGGTCTGTGAATCTGAATAGTGGATTTTCACATCCCTGAGAACAAAAAAGTGACCAAAGGGCTTTTATTCGTAGTACAGATGTGAATACTAACAACAACAGGGACTTCTGAAAGACTCTGCCTAGAAAGTGAACTGTCTCAGACTCACCGCCAGGATCTCCTTGCCCACACCTTGCCAGCTTCCCAATAACACCAGCAACCCCTGCCCCTCAACCTCCACCCCCATCTCCTGCCAGCTCTCCAGAGCTTAGGTTTGTTAGGGTAGTGTGCCCACACAGCATCCTGTCACAGCACTTCTGTGAGGCCCACAGAAGAGGACCAGAGCCCCAGAGAGGTTGTGGGTTGAATTGTAGAATTTGGGGGGCCTTGTTAAGTGTTCCTGCATGCTTCTTTCCTAGGCCAGGGAAGGCTTGGGAGTGGAAGATGCAGAGATGCCTTGCAGCAAGCAGACCTCCTTCCTGACTCAGGCCTGAGCCTCTGCATCTTCTAGGAGCCAACTTTTAGCCTGGTTGGGGGGGGGGGGCGGGGACCCGGCAGGTTCCATTGTGTACTTAACCCTCCTCCCCTAACTTGAACACCAGCTTTTCAACTCCCTGAGGCTTAGCCAGCAGACACAGGAGAAATGTTTCATACCTCTGCCCTAACATGAACAGATGTAGTCCTTGTCCCAGAGTTTTTGTAAAACTTATCCCAACAGAGTCTGCCGCCCATGCAGTCAGTATCTTGAATAGAAAGGAAAAGCTTGGGGCCTCAAGGAGCCAGGCGGCAAACACAGGTTGTGCAGCGCTAACCTACAGGATCAGGCCGGCTCTTGCTTCCCCAAGTCTGGGCTCAGAGCTGGGAGCTCTTGACACCCCCCCGCCCCCCGCAGCCTCCAATCCACAGAGGGATTCAGGCCTCTTAGCCTCCCCTCAGCCAGGATTTAGGCCCTAGGACAGAGAGGCTGAGGCTGATAGTGACCTTCTTAGAGGTCCAGAATAGTTCCCCTTCTTTTTCAGGGCAGGGGCCCAGCAGAGGTTAAAATGAGAACAATTATACAAAATGTACTGGCTCTTGAGTTGGGGCCAATTACAATAAAACTAAAGAGAGAGGATATATGGTCAGACATAACTATATGTATTATACATATACACATGTATATAGTTATATTAGCTCAAGGCTTTTCAGCGTTTTTATTAGCTCAAGGTTTTTTAAACTAAGTTTGCACCTATTACTTGTAGTGAAATCAATTTACTGGGTTGAGACCTTTTCTAAAAAATGAAATAGTAAACAACAGGAAAAAATTAAATAGCATCATATATGGCAGTGGTTGATTTTGTGTCGTGAAATTTTTGTGTCGGTAATACGTCTGTGTCAACTGGGTAGTGATCTCTAATGTATTTCTTACTGTGGGTCATCCGCAGAAAGTGGGTTTTTTTAATATATATATTAAAAACATTGTATTGCCTTTGTAGAATCAAGTAGGTTTAGATATCTATACTGTGCATTTTAATCAGCATCAACACGAACACCAGTTAAGGGAACCCATTCAAGAACCACTCGTTCATAGAGCCCACCGCAGGGTCCACGACAGCTTGGACCTCCCAGAAAAGGCGACCGCCGGCTGTGTGGGCCCACACTGGGGTAGGCACTGGGGTTCGGTGGCGGAGTGGCAGAAGGGGTGGTTTCGTAGGATCGGGACTGACTGACGGTTGGATTGCGTGAGAGACGGCAGGGCAAAAGGAGCCAGGGGTCGGGGGACCACACTCAGGCCCTATGTCTCCCGCAGGCAACGCCTACTCCGCAGAACCCGAGGAGAACAAGCGGACGCGCACCGCCTACACCCGCGCGCAGCTTCTGGAACTGGAGAAGGAGTTCCTATTCAACAAATACATCTCTCGACCCCGCCGGGTCGAGCTGGCTGTCATGCTGAACTTGACGGAGAGGCACATCAAGATCTGGTTCCAAAATCGCCGCATGAAGTGGAAAAAAGAGGAGGACAAGAAGCGCGGCTGTGGAACCGCAGCCGGGGGTGGCGGGGACGGGGAGCCCGAGCAGGACTCTGCGGTGACCTCCGGCGAGGAGCTGCTGGCGCTGCCGCCGCCGCCGCCGCCCCCCGGGGGAGCTGTGCCACCCGCTGTCCCTGTTACAGCTCAGGAAGGCCGACTGCCGCCAGGCCTTAGTGCATCACCGCAGCCCTCCAGTGTCGCGCCCCTACGGCCCCAGGAACCCCGGTGAGAGGTGGGGGCTCCTCCCTGCCAGAGGCTTTGACCACTCACAGAGGAGGAGGGAGCAGGCCTAGGACCCCAGGTGTGGACCCCAGCCCTGGCTGTTTGATGGGGCAGGTGCTTCGGCTCCCGCCCCAGGTGGGAGGGGAGCGGCTGCGCTCTCAGGTGCCTGTGCCAACTGGGGCGGGTGGGGAAACGCCGGTTGACCTTCCAGAAGAAGGGACCCTTTTCTGTAGATCTGAGTCTTCTTCGAGTGATATTGTTGGGTCGACCTCCTCTGCCACTTGTTGGGCAGGTCCCAGCACTCCAGAACCAGGGACGCATTTAGAGAAACCAACTCTTCAAAAGACAGCAACTGTACTAATTGGAACATTCTCCCAAACACAAGCCAACTAAATGGTGTTGCCTGTATGTGCTCAGAAATAGAGACATTTCGATTCAGGCGTCTGCCTTAACATTTAGAAATAATTATAAGGAAATGTCAGAGGTTTCAAAGACCCAATGAAATTGATGCCCTTGGACTTGAATAATTTCTTTCCCCCTCCTTCTCCTTTCTCTTAAAATCCATTTAGCACAGCAACATACTCCCCCAGAACACACCCCAACTTCACCCTGCATGTCTTCGCTCTGAAGAAGAGATATTACAAGGGAAGCTGAGCCGCAGCAGGGCTGGGGCACAGGAGCAGGGCGAGAGTCCCTGTGTACCCCTCGGTCAAACGGTTCCAGAGAGAGTGGGAGAGATGGGTCTGAGCCAAGGGGTTTGAGGACGAAAGATGGACCCCCGAGTGAACTTTCTAATGAGGATGTGGATTTAGTTCCTGGTCTCAGGGCAGAGAGGCTGTGTGGAAGGCAAGCAGGGTTGCCCAACCCACTTTGGAATCGAATCACAGAGCCAGTATGATTCCCACATCTTTAGAAATGATAAAAACTCCTGTGTTTGAGGAGGTGGGAAACTGGTTATTTTAATTTAAAGTTGTGAATTTACCTAACAGTTCTTTACAAACAGGTCTGTGGTTTCCAGGTCAATTTTGGTTTGAATGCAGGTGATATTTGTGGGAAATGTTTAATAAATACAGATAACATGGAAAGAGATGAAAACTGATTCCTTTGTTTTATACACAACCAGTTCATTTTACAAATCAAAGTAGCATTTCTCTTTTCCACACTAATTAGGGAAGAGCCCATAATTAAGAAACATGCATTTGGGTTTGGGGTTGGGTTAATGTATTAGCATGTGGATTCTCGGTTTTGTTTTGTTTCGTTTCGTTTTTACCTTGAGCCACTTCTCAAGATGGATTTCGACAGTAAGAGAGCCCTGAGGCATGGGGGTGGGATTGCAGCTGAGCAGGTCTGGACTAGCCAGAGAGGCTCAGGGAACCTCGAAGTTGGCCAGGGCCGTGGCTGATTCTCCTTTTTCTTCCCCGAGAGGTGGTCTGGAAGAGGCTTTTTTCTTTGGCTCAGCCAAAGGAGTGTTGCTTTGGATGAGTCCATGCCCCTGGGTCCCTAGGTCCAGAGTGTCCTGTGCTAGGGACCAACAGGCCCTGACTCAGAAGGCTTCCAGTCCCTGGAGCTCCCTCTTCCTCCTGGCACTTGTCAGCCTCTTCACCCAGCTGCGTGCTGGACTACACCTCCACTGCGTTCCCACCCTGGGGGACTGTCAGCTGGCTCCTAGGAGTGACCGCTAGTATTCTTGGTTGCTAAGAGACGCAGGACTTGTTTTTGTTTAGTTGTTGGTTTTCACCTATTGCTGTTTTTGTTTTTGAGAGAAATAGAATCATTCAGCCCTCGGAGGAAAAGAAATTAGGTGGATCAGAAAAGGGAACCTTCTCATCAGTGAAATGGGTCACAGAGAGCAGACCTCACCCTGCAGCTCCTCACGCCCCTCCCCGACCTGGGCTCTGGAGTGTAGGGTTTGGGCCTTACCGCCGGAGGTCCCTCTAATACTGGCCCACGACCCTGATAGGATTATTCAATGTCCCTATGCCTCAGTTTCCTACCTGTAAAGTGGAGGTGAATTACATGGCATGGAGATTTAAACAAAATATCGTGCTCGATTCAGCATCTAGAAAGTAGTTATCCCTCCACAACATCATTACTGTTCAGGGACCATCGTTATTTTTCGAAGCGCGGGGCAGCTGCCTCTGCGGAGATTGGGGAGGGGTGCCTTCTGACACCTGAACAGCCCTCTCCTTTGACAAATCCCCACGCTGTCGCTATTGAGATGACTCTAGTTCTTGTAACCACTGATCTTTACTGAGCACTTCCTCCTAAAGAACCTCCTTAGATTTCCCACAGCGACCTTCCGCAGGTAAAAAACTGTCTGCCTCTTACATAAGGGAAGCGGCTGCTGAGCAGCGTGCAGGACCGCTGGGGCTCCGTGGCAGTCCGCAGAGGAGGTGAGATTTGTTCTGGGGAGGGGTGGGTGCCAAAGAGGCTTCAGGGGCTCCACCCCAAGGCCTCTCCCCTCTCCGGGGCTCCGGTCCCTGTATCCCTCAGATCTCTGGCCCAGAGAGGGTATCCTGCCCGCTGCCTCTCCCTGCGTATTCCAGGGTTCCCTGCTCTACGGAGGAGATGCGGTCTGTCGCCCGGGGCTGGGAGGGCGCGATGGGGAGGAGCGGGTGTTGACTAGGACCAGGCGCCCGGCCTCAACTGCGCAGGGCCGGGCCCCGCCGCTATGATTCACTAAAGACGCACTCGGCTGCTCTCTGGGCTGCTGGTGCTTTCCCAAAGAAGAAAGCCAGGCCTGCCCTCTTAGACTTGAACGTCAGGCCTGTTTGCCTACGTGCGGCACTTAATTCTCTCCTTTTCTCTTCCACAAAAGGGGCTCATGATGAGGATGAAATGAGATGATGTCTTTGAAGAGTTTATTACGTGGCTCGGCATAGTGGGCAGGGGAGGGCTGGTGGAGGGGACGTGGTGCTGCCAGTGGAGGCCGGTCTTCCGGGGAGACCGCGGGAGGCAGCGCAGAGCAAGCCCTGCTGGCCAGAGGGACCTCCAAGAGAGGAAGAAAGAGGAAGGAGGAGCTCTGGCTGGGAGCGCCACCCAAGAACCAGAGGACTTTATCCCGACCCCTCAGGCCACAGCTCCTAGGGCGACTCACACGGGGCTCGACCTGTGACTCCCTAGCTCTGCGCAGCCACCCTCGCCCAGCTGGAGAGGGACATGCTCTGTGGGCCGCGGGGGCCGAGCGCTTGCAGTTCTAAGCCCAAAACCCTCGCAGAGTCCAGTCTCCTGGGGGAGGGAGGAGGCCGGAAACCAACAAGCAAGGTCTTGGGAAGAGCCCCTTTCTGCCAATCTCGTGATTTTCCCCAGGTCCCAGAACTGCAGAGGTGACATACCGCCTCCCCTCTTCAAGCTGACCACACTCCTTTCAAGTAGGAAACAGTCGCACCCAGGGCCCTCCAGGGCGTGGAGGAAAAACAGAGTTCCCGCAAGGCCGCGCGCAGTTCCCCGCGCGCAAAGTACGCTCTGGGCCTGTGCAGACCGGGATCCCGGGACCCGTGGGCTTGCTGAAGGAGAGAAGAAGTCCAGGGGCGCGCCCGCCTACACTTCCACTCCCGAAAATTCGCGGAGCGAAGCCACAAGCCCCACTATTCCTTCCCAAATCTTTGGCAGGGGGTGTACATTCATGCAGCACCACTGGGTGCTGTGAAAGATGGGGCACTGATTGTACTTCAAGACCAGCCCCTGCGCTCCCCGCATTTGTGGAAGCTACTGGTCCCGGGATTGGATTCGGAGTATCTTGCAAGGGTTCCCCACCACTGTGTCACGAAAGCCACTGAGAGTGAGACCTAGGATCGAAGACCAGGCGAGCGTTGCGCTATGCGGGCAGGACCAGGGCATGAAACTCCTTGAAGGTAAGGTCTCATCGCACAGCGCCAGAAATCGTGTGCAGCAAACAAAATCTCCTTTTCTTCTGTGATGTATTTCTTTTTGCAGTTGGCTAAAGAATGTCTCACCTTAAAAGGTAATCCATGCGTTGTAATAGTATCTGAGAGGTGCTCATGATTTCAAGTTCTGCCTATCCGTGTGTGTGTGTGTGTGTGTGTGTGTGTGTGTGTGTGTGTTTTAGTCAGGTTTGATCCCTGTGATTCTCTTGCACCTTTCTGACTGGAGCCTGAATGGATTCAGCTGCGTGCACTGGACTCCTACTTTATGCCGGGTACCACTGGAAGTCATGCAGTGCTCGCTGGGGAAGCACTTATAATTTGTAAAAGCCGGGTCACCGAGATTTGACAGACTCTCAGTGAATTTACCAGAGTAAATAGTTCTCAGGTTGCCCAGATTTCTCCTTGTGTACAACAAAGGCTGTTTTGATTTCCCAAAATAATTTTGGCCCCCTTGTCTAGCACTGTGACCCTCCCCATATCCTCTCTTTCAACTAATTCAGTCCAATGCACTTAAGTTTTAATGAAATCTGTCTGACACGGTCCTTTCGAGTTGGTGAAATCAGCCTGTCCTTATTATATTCCCTCATTTATCCTCCCTCCGTCCTTAGATCTGTGTGTCTGTAGGTATGGTGTGTGTCTCAGGGGTCTGAGGGTGAGTTTCTCTCTGTGTTCTCGTGTCTGACTAAGCCTGCAGGGCTTGTGTGTGTTTGTGTGTGTGGTGTAAGGTGTGTCTTCTGTGGGCTGCAATGGTGACAATGATCCGTGAGTATCTACCGGTTGGGGACAGGTTCCTATACACTCTTTTTCCGTACAAGAATGGCCATCTAATGCCACTGCTGCTGATGCCAGCTGTCTACTCAGGTCTCAATTCTTTGTGTTGACACAATGTTTACAGGCAGGAAATGCTGTCTTAAGAAAATGGGGGTGATAACTTTGGTAGAAGCTGACTGACTGCTAAAGTATTACATGATTGTGTAAGGAATTTCATTTTTTTCTTTCTAAGAAAAAAGTTTGAAACTAAGTTCTTTAATGTTAAAAGTATCACATAGAAACCCTCCTGAAGAAGGATCTGAAGAAGAAAGTTCTGGGTTGACACTGAACCAAATTTTACTCAAACCCAACTCTGACAAGCTAGATGTGGGAGCTGTAAAACCTGATGGGGAACTGAGGCAGAGCAACAGGAAGCCTCCCTGTAAAGGACACAGGAGTGATGCGGACTCCTGGCTGGCACCCAGCCTTGAGGAAGTTGCTTCCTGTTGACAGCAGGAGCCGTGGGAACGGACTGCGCAGGTAACTGTGGGGAGGAAAGGGAGGTCAAGCTCTGTAAATAGCAGCTACCAATAGCTGTTTTGCAGTGAAAGTGACTGGCTGGTGTGGATCTTTTGGGCAACTGAGTGAGAAGCCATCAGTGCCAGGTTCCCAAATTAAAGTGTGCTGTACTTATAATCGTGAGCTAGAATGGGCATCATTCTGTGATAGAGCATCATAACATGCTCTTGCTGTTTGCTTTATTAAAACTGGTTTTCTCTATAAACAAAATATGGCTTTTGAAAGCACAGATAGCTTTAGCCCATTATAATTTTATAAAACATTTTGTAATTCAACTTCAAGTTGAACTGCTTCAAGTCACTCCACACAAAGCATATGGACATCTTAAATATATGCCACATCATCAGCATGGATCAAGATTCCTGTCTGCATTACAGAACACACTGAACTCTCACTCCTAGTGATAATCACACAACAAAAATTATAACAATATTTCTGTTATAATTTCTATCATTTGAATAAGTTATATTATTTTCCTGAATTTTAAATTAGTCTAAATTCCAAAGGAAAAAGAGTTTGAAAAATCATTTCTCATGCTCTAAAAAAATTCAGAAGTTTCACAATTCTAGATCTGTCTGGAAATACTGCCAATTTGAAGCTGATATATTACCTGGAACTATTCCCACTTCAACAGCTCTAGAAATCCACTAAAAATACAAAATATTATTCAAGAGCTTTTTAATATTGAAAATAGTACATAATTGAATGTATTGCAAGAAATAAGCTCATGATTTCATGATTTTTATTTCATGTTGAAAACCTGATTTTCTAGAGCAGAAGTTTCTAGAGCTGATTATTTCTTCTCTGGACAAACAGAGACACAAACAAACAGATTTTAGTAAAACAGAAGCCAACATTCATCCTGCCCTTTGTCCTCCA